CAGGACCAACCTCCCGAGAGGGAGCACCTGCAGGAGGCGGCGAGGAAGACTGTGGGGAGGGAGGCTGTACAGGGGGGGCTACCGAAGGGGGAGGGCTGGCCTGAGACACACCAGACGGGGCTGGACCAGGGGGGGGAGGCTGTACCGGGGGAGCAGGCGGGGGAGCGGCTGTCAGGAAGAGGGGGGGAGGAGGAACCGGGAGACCTCGACTGGGGTACCTGACGTAGTACGGGGTGGACTCCTCGAAACGGACGTCACGGGAGTCAAAGAACCGGTGAGAGGGAGGGTGGTAAAAGGTGAAGTCAGAGGAGTCCTCAGGGAAACCAAGGAAGACACAAGGAACGGCGCGAGGCGAGAGCTTGTCCGCGGAGGTGTCGCGGACAAGAGCCAAGCACCCCCAGACACGAAACCTCGACGCGACACCAGGGGACCCTGTCCAAAGACTGGTCGGTGAAGCCTCCGGCCGAGAGACGCGTGGCCAGAGGTTCAGCTGGTGCGCGGCGTACCTGACTGCGTATGGCCACAGGAAATGGGGGGCACGGGCGTGAGTCAAGGAGGTGCGGGCAATCTCCATGACCAGGCCTATGCGACGCTCAGCAACCCCATTCTGCTGTGGGGACTCCGGAAGCGTCCAGGACTGACGAATGCCCTGTTCGCGACAGAATCCAGCGAGAATGCCGGAGCGAAACTCGCCCCCGCGGTCGGAGTGGAGACAGCTGACACGACGACCACGAGTGTCCTGGGTGGTAAGCAACCACCTGATCAGCGTAGAAGTCACCTCAGACTTCCTCGCCAGGGGGAACACTGTGGTATAGCGGGAGTAGTCGTCAACGACCACCAAAAAGAAACGCTCACGCTCAGGGCCAGGGCAAGGAGAGGGGCCCCAGACGTCCAAGTGCAGCGTCTCAAAAGGCTCGGTGGCCGGACGAAGGGAGGAGGAGTGAGGGGTGGCACGCAGCCTACCCTCGACGCAAGGACCGCACGGTGGTGCAAGGGACGGCGGCAGCGACGGCAAGACACGCGGGAGACCTAAGACCAGACGCTGACTAGACATAGCACGCAGACGTGGAAGAGAAGGGTGTCCCATCCGGTGGTGCCACAGAACGGTGGGGTGGGCAAGCGACCGACAGGAGCAAGACGCAGCGACTGGACTGGACGCGACAACCTGAGGGGACGGAACCACCTGGTGAGACGCAGGGAGGAGACTAGGGGGAGGGACAGGAACTGGGAGGAGTGGCTGCTGCGACGGCGGCCGCTGTGGCTGCGGCTGCTGCTGCTGCCGCTGCTGAGGCTGCTGCTGCTGCTGCTGCAGTCGCTGCTGAGCGCGCGGGCCAGTGTGAAGAGTGTAGAGACCGGAGCCCGGCTCAGCAGCAAAAGTGGCGAGAGGCTGGTAAGAGTCCCCGTCAACACACACCGCAGTCTCTCCAGAAGGCTCAAACCACACACCCACGTGCTGACTCACAAGGGGTCGCACGCCCACCAAGTTCCGGGAGAACGAGGGGACGTGAAACCCAGTGAGAGACCCAGAAGGAGCAGCCGGACACGGCAAGGTGGTAGTGTGACGCGCGGTGACTGGTCCCGAAGTGGGATCAGCCAGCGCCACAGAAACAGGCGCAGGAAGAGGCGTAAGTGTCGTGCTGTCACGAAAGAAGCAGTGAGAGGCTCCAGAGTCCAGCGTGAACGACAGCGAACCGTCCTCTGAGGTAGCCGCTGGACTAGAGTCTACACAAGAACCTACACTAGCAACAGGCAACTGAGCAAGGCTAGCACCTAAGCTAACAACACCAGAGTAAGCAGAGTCAGAAACACTAGAGTCAACAACAGCATACATAGCATGAGGAGCACCAATCAGATCAACTAACTGCTCAGCAGACATGCCCCACAGAGCGGAGCCGTAGCGCTGAACCAGAGGAAGCCAGTCAAGGGCAGGACCGCCAACCCCGTAGGCCAACCGGACCGTGTCAGTGAGCTGAGCAAAGCACTGACCAGGGGGGTGAAAGCGGCCACAAGGGTGGCCCCGACGAGGACCTGTCAGAACCTGATAGGTGCAGGGAGGGTAAGCAGCACCACGCTGGGGCTGACGCAGCCCCGACCCCGGAGCCAGCTGCTGACGCTGCTGCTGCTGAGGCTGCTGGGAGGAGAGGGGCTGCTGCTGCTGCTGAAGCCGCTGCTGACGCTGAGCCTGGTACCACGCCGCTGCTCCACCTAGCGGGGCCGGCAGTACAGGAGACGACTGACGAGCTCGGGTGTCGCCACCACCAGCAGGCGCAGTGGAGTCACCAGCCGCTGCACGAGAGGTCTCTCCAGACGCTGCACTCCCACCACCGCCAGTCGCAACAGCACCCCCACTACCTCCGCTACCTCCGCCTCCACCTCCACCAGAACCACCTTTCTTGCCCCCCTTGCCGCGGGACCGCGACGCAGTCGTAACAGCAGCTGCAGTCGCGTCAGTAGCGGCAGTGGCAAGAGAGGCAGTGAAGGTGGGTAACTGCGGGACTGTGCACCCGTGGAAGAGTGGGGGGGGCACAGCACCAGAGGCGGCAGCTACCGAGCGAAGGTTGCTCTCGACGTCCTTGAGCGCAGACTCAAGGACCTCAACTGTCAGCTCACTAGGGTGCTTCAGCAGGAGCGCGTCACGTACGGAGGCAAGGCGGTCAGGGAGGCTAGTGGCGATGAAATAGATAGTAATCGCCATGGGGGGAGGAAGCAGTGCAAGCTGTGCCTCAGTGCAAGCAGCGCGGTAACTAGCGTCGAGCGAGCGGAGGTGAGCGATCAAGTCAGCAGAGCGCTCAAACGAGGCGAGATCAGGAAACAGGAACGGGAGGAAAAGACGGCCAAGAGAGACAGTAGCGGGAGTAGAGTAGCGGGCCTTAATCGCAGTGAGGTACGCAGCAGCGGTGCGAACCTGAGTGAAGTGGACCTCCTCTGACTCAGGGAGGAGGCTGCTGAGTGCGATGCAGGCCGCAGCGTCACGCGACGTCCAAGCCGTCCTGTCAGCGCGCTGACGGGCAAAGCGAGCCGTAGCAGCATCGTCAGGGGCAGGACCTAAAGCGGCAGGCTCGGGGGGCTCGGGGAGGTCACCAGTAGCGTGCGACCAGAGGGTCTCGCCCCCCTGGACTTGACTCTCTAACAGACGGCGAGCGCGAAGGAGCCAGACGGAAAAGTCAAGAGGTCTGCCGTCAGCGTCGAAACGAAGAACTCGCGGAGTCGCCATAGCGAAAACTAACGCGAACGAGCAGGCGAGTAACAGCAGGAGGTAAGAGGCAAATTAGGGTTCAGGTGGGACTTAGTCGCAGCGGAAGAGCGGGCTAGAGCGACGGGCCAGGGCGTAGGGTCGACGGGACGGGGGAAAGGGCGGGCACGATGCGACGGGGCAGGGCGACGCGACGGGGGAGGGCGACGCGACGGGGTAGGGAGACGGGACGGGACGGGGACGGGACGGGGCAGGGGCGACGGGACGGGACGGGGCGACGGGACGGGACGGGGCAGGGCCGCGGGACGGGACGGGACGGGGACGGGACGGGGCAGGGGCGACGGGACGGGACGGGCCGACGGGACGGGACGGGGCAGGGCGACGGGACGGGGCAGGGGCAACGGGACGGGGCAGGGCGACGTGACGGGGGGAAAGGGCGCGACGCGACGGTGGGAAAGGGCGCGACGCGACGGGGGGAAAGAGCGCGACGCGACGGGGGGAAAGGGCGCGACTCGACGGGGGGGAACGGGCGCGACGCAACGGGGGAAAAGGGCGCGACGTGACGGGGGGGAAAGGGCGCTAGGCGACGGGGGGAAGGGCGCTAGGCTCGGCACTAGGCGCGGTAACAACGGAACCGGTACGAACGAGAGGTAGGATCAGGCTCGGGAGATACGAACGGAGAACGGAGGAACGGGATCCCACAGGATCCTAACCTAACTGATACCATGTCAGAATGAGGAATGGATGATGCATTGATGTTGGTTGGGGTACATATAGCTAACCCTAAGTTTTGTACCCCCTAAGACAAACCTCACTATAGGCTACAACATTTGACACGGTGCACCAGGCACTTCATCAAGCTGGCACAGTACGGGCCAAAGACCAAAGGCCCGTTAATTCGTATTTTTCGACGCAACTTCCCGCCATCCTCGCAGGATACCGCCCCATCATACCCCACTGTCCGCACGTGGTGCTTGCAGGCATTCCAAGCAGCCGGCATCGACCCTACAAACCTCGGCACCCATTCATTCCGCAAAGGGGCAGCAACAGTTGCAGCGAGTACGGGCATCCCGGACCGTCTTCTCAAAAGACTGGGGCGATGGCGGAGCGAAACCGCGAAGGACCTTTATGTCACCATCTCCCACGATCACCTCCTTGCTGCGTCGCGGCGCCTTCACGATCAGGCGCACGTTCCGTCCCCCTCGCAGCATGAGCGTGCCCTTACTCGACACCGCCAACAAGCACTCACCATGTCTCAGAAAACCCAGTTGAAATGAGACGTTGCATTTGCAAAGACAACTAGCAAGCTTTCACAATATGTAAATTTTTGAAAGTGTGTAACACTTTCTAAAATTGTGTATTGTGAATAGCGAAGATATTTGTACCGAAGCAAAATGCTTCGGCGAACCGCTACTTCCCCTCTTTTTCGGTATAAAAGAGGGGGCGAAGGCCATTTGTGTCAAACAATATGTTCCCTATCCTGACAATTTGGCCTTCACCCACGTTTTTCATTTCAAACTTTCAGTTTTCAAGTTCCCCACCCTCCCACCCTAGTATAGTAGAGAATTCATCGTTGTTACTATGTAATATGCTTGGACGATAAAAAATCTTGTACTTGCCAGTTGAAATGAGACGTTGCATTTGCAAAGACAAATAGCAAGCTTTCACAATGTGATGATTATCCCAAGATGGTATATATCATACACTGAAAGTACAACCATTATGACACACGGAAGCGTATCCAGCTTTATTCGTTAGTCGTCTAAGGCTAATGCTAGTAGTGTCCGATATCCACATGGAAAATCACTTATAACAGCTCAGAAGATTCTCCAGGTGAGGCCAAGGCGCAATCAGTCTGTCCAGGGTGTTTGCACGACGCCTTGTGCAGCAGCAGAGTGGTCTCCAACGCGCTCACCCTCCGCTGCAATGCGTCCACGTAAGCAACAGCATTATCGAGCATAGTAGCCGTGTCCCCGTGCCCACGCACCACCATCCGCAGCTTCTGCAGCCCCTCGCTGATCCTCTCCCGCCTCTGCCTCTCCGCCATGCTCCGCGCCTTGATGCGCCCGCCCGCCACCTGCCTGTCCTTGCGCCCGCGGCTGCGCGGCATCCAATCGTCCACGTCATCCGCTGCACCATTGGCGCCCCCGCACGCGGGGCTTCCGCCAAAACCCGCCATGTCATCATCGGAGTTGTCGTTGTTCATGCAAGCTGCTGCTTCGGGCGCGGGGATAGCTAGCGGCGCAGGCGCGGCGGAAGGTACAGTGGGCAGGCGAATGGGCATCTGCAGCGGACCGTGATGGGCGAGGGTCCTGCCGACCGGGGTGGCATGGCTAAGGACTGGCAGCGCAGCCGCGGGAGGCGCGGGAGCGGCAAAAGCAGCGGGCGCGGGGCACGGTTCGCAGCGGAGGATAGCAGCTCCAAGCGCGCGGCGCAACTGGCGGGAAACCTCCGCCTCGCTTCCGTCCACGGCTGCGGTAGGGGCAACTGGCGCTGCGGAGGAAACCACCTCGCTCTCCGAGGCCTTGCGCTTCCGCGAGCCTGCTGCCAGCGGCGGCGGCGGCGGCGGCGGCGGCGGCTTCCGCGGCGGAGCTGTCCACACTACTGGTGCTGCTGCTGCGCATAAGAACTCTCTCCGCGTCGCAGTTGCTACCTGCGGCCCGCATCTGCGCCATAGCTGCGCTGCTGCTCCCCGTCTGACCCGCCGCTGGCTGCGCATCCGCTGCGGGGCCGTCAAGTGCGGCGATAATCGCGTCGAGGTGCATGTCGACCTGGGGCAGCTGACCGAGGAACGAATCAAGCAGCGCGGACGACGGGTTACCACTGCTCGCGGGACTGCTGTTGCTCAGACTGTCCAATTGCGGCAGCCGGCGGGACGCTGCGGCGTCGCTGGGAGCCTGCTTGGCGCGCTTTGCGGGCGAGGGGGAAGCGGCGGTGGGGGAATCTGGCGCGGACGGCTCGTCGGTGTCCTCTGAGTCGGCGAGGGCCTCCATAATTGCCGCGAGCAGCTGCTTCTGCGTCGCCCGCTGCGCCGCCTTTCTCGCCTTCGCCTTCCCGCTCTTCCCGCCGCTCTTTCCGGCGGGCTTATCATTAGAATTCGCGGCTACTGGAGCCTCGGGATTGGAGACCGCGGCTTTGTCGTCGCAGGAGGTCCAGGGGAAGGCTGGGGCTGGGAGATTGAGAAACGAGTCGACTGCCGCGTCCATTTCGCTAATGTCCGGGCACGCGGGCATGTCTAGGTCGAACAGGTGCTCGAAAGGCGACTGATCAATATCTGCGAGTGCCATCGTTGGGAGCTGTGTGTGTTCGTGATCGATCAGAGCGTTAGTGCTGGTGGGAGGTGTCGAAGGAAAATTGCCTAAGTTTGAGTGCGCGTCGAGAGTATTGCTCGAAGAATGGATCTGAAGTTGAAAGCCCCGCCATTTATAGAAGGCGAGTGGAGGCACAGGCTTGAGTTTTTCTCGCGAACCAAGCCACAAGCGGACCCCCTGCATGTCCCCGCGGAATGCGAGTGAGCCGTGCGGTGCCTCTGGGGCTTGGCGGCGTGCATTGATTCCCAGCTCATTGCCTCCTCGAGTTTCGTCTGCCGAGCCTGGCGCTGGCTGCGAAAGCCAGCGAAAACCCCCAATGTTTCCCGCAGTGCTGTGCCAAGTCCCCCCAGCAGCTGCGTAGGGGCTGTCAAGTGGGCTTGTGGCGATGGCGTCTGGTTACGACTCTGCTTTCGCTTGGGTGCAAGCTTCGCAGGTTGGGTGGTTTGGCGAGCCAGTTCGGTATCCCCTCCCGAGTCCCCGCCTGAGCTGACGCTGACATCACATCACTCTGTCTACCAATTGCTGTCACGTGCTGTATCGAATCGTACGCGCCTGATTCGCCTTGTTGGCCTCGAGGGAGAGAATCTCGTTTACACTGTAGCATGCCGAGACTGATGAACAGTAGGGTTGTCGCCGATGGTTCTTTTGTGCCCCACTTTGCGATTGCGGGACGCTGGTCCGTTCATTTCCTGGCGAAATCAAAGCCAGCCCATGGTCACCTAGTGCCAGGACTCAGGTGCTTTGAATGGGAGCCACAAATGTTCCTCCCGCCATGATTCTGACACCCCATTGCGAATTGGGGCTGGCAAATCGGATTCCCAGTGCTTGCAATGCCAGCGCCCGCCATACTTTTGCCTGAAAGCTGGAATCCTACAACCAGGCAAAACACCTGAAGATGTCTCTCATGTCGAACCTGAAAATCGCCATCACCGGTAAAGGACATTCTGCAATAGTGTTCAAGCTGGAGCCCAGGAGCAGCAAGGGGATGCTGTGAGAAACACTACCTGTAGGAATTCTGTGAATGTATATGAATGCTTATGATGTAAACCATGCTTACAGAATTCCAATTAAAATAGAAACACCCTCATTTCCATAGGATGTGACATGATTACGAGTTATTCAGCTCACCGTCATCCTGGCTGCGGCTTAACTAGAGCCTGGAAAAACTAGAACGAAGTGGTATTAATAGTAATTCTCCATATCGTAAAACACGCTCTAATGACAGTGGTATGCCATTCAGCCCCCAAAACTAGTATCCGTTGCATGCTCTATGACAAAATAGAAAGCAAGACCAATCACCGCACTGACCTTCAGAGAAATCCTTGTGCACTGTTCATCCAATGCGCAAACCTGTTAGCGAGCATCGTGCTTCATAGTCTCGTTGCTGTGAATGTCTATGGTGTGTAGCCGGCTAAATTACTTCATATGCTGGTGAATTTCAAACTAAGGCTTTCCCGCAACAGCATAATGCATGGTTTGTTCACATGGACCAGTGAGATGCATACCACCCAGTATAGCGACAATATTTGGATGATCTATAAAGTTAGTAACAACAACAACAAAACACCATGCCACCCAAGGTGGACTTTATTCCAAGTAGATAGCCCTCATATCCGGGGCATCCATTTATTTGTCATAGGTGAACACTGGACTCAGACGTCCAAGCCAAAAAGAGAACCAAACTGGGAGGGGTTGATGAAGCCATTTCCATGGCGGCCCCTGTTATTGGAGTGGGGTCCATTCCCACCGCCCATTCCGCCTCCACCCTGACCAAGCCCCCCACAGGACGCCTGGTGCAACAGCATGTTCGTTTCCAACGATGTCACTCTCCTCTGCAGCGCCTGCACGTACGCGACAGCATTGTCGAGCATGGTAGCCGTGTCCCCATGCCCGCGCACTGCCATCCGCAGCTTCTGCAGCCCCTCGCTGATCCTCTCCCGCCTCTGCCTCTCCGCCATGCTCCGCGCCTTGATGCGCCCACCCGCCACCTGCCGGTCCTTGCGCCCGCGGCTGCGTGGCATCCAGTCGTCCATGTCATCCCCCCCCATATCATCGTAACCCATGCCTCCATCGTCACACCCGTTACTGCCATCATTGTAACCGTGACTGCCATTGCCAGCCGTGTGGTTACCATCACCGTCTGCGAAACCATCATCCATGCGATTGTTGCCAAACCTCACAGGGAACCCCAACGGTTGCTCCGCCGACAAATCCTCTCCCACACCGCCGAACCTGTCCATCACGTTCGGGCGCGCCACGGGCGCTGCGGTGGGAGAGACGTCAGAAGGGACGGTGAGCATGCGGAGCGGAGTGGCAGGGGGAGGCGGGGCGGAAGCGGCGGCGGCATTCGAGACGGGCGCGCGAAGCAGAGGCGCTCCACCAGCAGAGCCAGGAGCGGCGAGGCAGGCGGCAGGGAGCGAGAGAAGGGGCGGCTTGCACGCGGCTTGCTGCAGCTGCTGCCTGCTCACCACCACAGGGCCTTTGCTGGATGCCTGTGGCAGAGACAGCGGTCGGTACTCCTGCACCTGTCCATTTCCGTTCCATCGCACCTCTGACGCGGATCGGCTGCTGATCGCGGCCTGCTCACCGTTTCCCTCCCCCCCTGCGCACGCCCCCTCGTCTTCCCCAGACTTGCGCTTCCGCGAGTTGACCGCGAGCGGCAGCGGCAGCGGCGGCGGCGGCGGCGGCGGCAGCGGAGCTATCCATGCTGCTGCTGCTGACGGCGTCCCAGGAACCCGTTTGCCGCTCGTGTGCGGAGAAATGCGGCGTGTTGGGCGGGGGAAGCCGAGAGCCTGATCCCGCGCCGTCGTCGCGCGCGTTGTTCTGTTGCGCGGAGCAGCCTCTGGCGCTCCCGCCTGCGCTGCTGCTGACGTGCTCCGTCGGGGACGGCTGCGCATCCTGCGGGTCGACCGGCGCATCTGCCGCCGCGATCATCGCGTCGAGGTGACCGTCGATCTGAGGCAGTTGATCCATAAAGCAATGCAGAATCGTGTCCTCGCCGCCCTCCGCGCCGCACCCTCCCTTCTGCTGCGCGGGCGCGGCGACATCCGCACTAGGTCGCGCCAGCTGCGGCATTTGGCGCGCAAGGGGGGGCTTTGCGCTAGCGGCGCTCAGCTTGGCGCGCTTCTGCTTGGGTGTCGACGTGGCGGGCTCGTCGTCGGGAGAATCCATGGTGGAGAGCGCCTTAGAGAGAACAGTGAGCAGCTGCTCCTGATCCATGGCCGTCCCCTTTCCGTTCAGCAGCGGCGCAGCGGATTCACTCGGCTTGCTCTTGCTCTTGCTCTTGCTAACCCCCGCCTTTTTCTTTTTAGGCATTTGCTTCTGCAGCAGTCGCATCATCGCGAGCATCAAATCCATCTGGTTGCCAGCATCGTCGTCGCCGTCTTCGCTGTCGTTGTCGCCATCGTCGCTGCTTTCGCATTCGTCGTTGTTTGCGTCGCCAGCGGAGGTGTTTTCCTCGGCCGACGCGGCTTTGGTTTCGGTGGGCTGCGTAAGGGCAGGAACGGACGGGAGGTTGAGGAACGACCCCACTACTGCTTCGATGTCGCCGCCTGGAGCGTCCATGCCGATGTTCGCTTCATCTGGTGTCGATGCCATTGTGTGTCGCAGTCTTTAGAAGCTGAGTTGAATCGTTGTGTTTCTAGGTGCTTATTTCGTCGCTTCTTATTTGATTGTAGATTTGCGTTTGTCAATAGAAATTCTCGTGTCGAAAACTTATGACAGATCGAAGTACGGAAGGTTGAGTGACACGCAAATTTGAGAGGTGGGAATATTTGTAGGATGCGACGCGGAAATCCTCGCTCCCCACATGTCGCCGAGGAAAGTGGGGCTGAATTCCGCATCCCAGCAGATGGGCTCCCTGCGACTCGAGAAACCCGAGAGTGGCGCCAGATTTGGGAAGAGATCATCAAGGGGCCAAACATTAGCAGGGAAGTGGCCAGATTAGGGCCGCGTGAGTCGCACCCTAGTACGTAGGTCCGAACCAGCGTACGAGCCTAAATTTTATTTTCAGAGCCATAACAAATATAAACCCCTATTGGATGGCATGCTTTTAGGGAGAATCAACCCTAAACACTCTGCGACAAGGTGTTTAGGGTTGACCTGATTCTAGACAAAATTCCGTCAAATTGATGGGTGATTAGGTCTAAAACCTAATCGGGCTAGTGCGACGCTGGTTCGGCACTGCTTCGAAAGGGTGCGACTCACACGGCCCTAATGTGGCACCTTCTCTGCTGTTTTCCGGCCCCAATTTGGTCATTTCCGGCCAGATTTTACAGCGAAACCAGCTCTCGTTGAGCGGGCTGGAGGAAAAAGCACCTGGACACTGGCGCCATGCTGGCACACTGCCAGATTTGCCCTTCCGCAACCTCACGCAGCTTTTACAGCCTGTGGCAGAAGATTTGGTTTTCCCATGCGATTTCCCATGATGGACGGGGAGACCGACGGGAAATGTCAGGTGCGGTGAAGCTCTGGCCAATTAGGATTCAGGATCGCTTTTCGGACTATCAGGCCCTTCACGAAACAGTGTTCGCGCCATTATGAATGCTTGCTACACCCGAAATATGACGATACGTGGTAACCAGACAGTACCTTCGAAACTGGCATGCTGGCTGGCGAAACCAGCTGCCACTGCTAGCTTTGTGCGGCTCGAGCCCATTGTTCGCCACCAACAACCACCAGCTTTGAGAGTGGGGGAGCGCTGGATGCCTACTCTCCCCATACTCTGGGGGCTCTCATGTGTGTGGGGGGGGGGACAGGCTGGGTGTGCGGGTGGGTTGCCCACAAATGGTGCGTGTTGGTCGCGAGTCGCGACTCGGCACTTGCCTGGCGAAACCCCTGACGGCCGGAAGTGATGTGATGGGGGCTGGGCAAACCATCCGTTATTAAGTTGTCCAAGGAAATAGTTATCGTTTTTTCAGAACGAACTTCAAATGTTTCTTTTAGGAACAGCTTGATGGAGCAGGTGCAAGGCCCCTTACCATGGTTCCTTACAAGCAGTCTTGAATACCGTATAAATTCGCAATGCCTGTTATTACAGTGGTTCAAATGTTGCATTTTAACTAGATTATAGTGACCTTTTATAACACTAGTCACCGCAGCAACGCAGGCTGACTCCAACCCAACAATGACACTCCAATATCACAAGCCACAGCTACAGCTACTGTTCTTCCCCCTCTAATCATTCCTGGCAACGCAGGCTTTTCCAGGCATCAAAGATCTCATCCCCTTTCTAGCTGTCCTTTGCCAGGCTTCGCAGCACGTAGTGCAGAATGCCCCCGTTCTCGAAGTATGTCAGCTCCACCTGCACGGGGAATGGCGAGAGGGGGAGAGGGAGGGTGAGGGAAAGGGGTGAGGGGAAACATAAGGGGAGGAGAGGGGGAAGGGTTTGCAGAGCGCTGCAACCGTAGTTCAAAGGAGGTGTGGTGGCGAGACCGAGGGGATCACATGATGCGTACCAAGTGGATCGTGGTGAACGTCTTGCCGCTGTCACTCATACCCTCAACGACCATCCCGGCATCGTCCCCTTCTTGACTTTTGAGTCGACTAAAAAACGCTTTCTGGTAGGTAACCCACCTGCGCATCGAATTTTGTGTTTGAGAGCAGGAGACCCACCTGGGTGTCGAATCGCAGGGTGGTGGTGAACCTCTTGCAATTATCAGTCGTCACCTCAACATCCATCCCCGGCTTGATCTCTTAGCTGACTCTTGGGTTGACTAAAAAATGCTAACGGGAGAGGAGGAGACCCACCTGGGTGTCGAATCGCAGGGTGGTTGTGAACTTCTTCCCGTTATCAGTCGTGACCTCCACGTCCATCCCCGGCTTGATCTCCTTCAGCGGGGGCAGGTGCACCGAGAACTTTTCGAGCCCGGTCAGCCCGAGCGACTCGGCGTCCTGCCCGGGCTTGAAGCAGAGCGGGATGATGCCCATGCCGACGAGGTTGCTGCGGTGGATGCGTTCAAACGACTTGGCAATCACCGCCTTCACGCCCTGCAGGTACGGCCCCTTGGCCGCCCAGTCCCTGGAACTTCCGCTGCCGTATTCCGAACCTGCCAGGACGATGGTTGGTGCCCCCGCCTCCTTGTAGCGCTGGGGGGAGGGGGGGACAGAGAGGAGGGGAGGAAGGACTTGGCAATCACCGCCTTCACGCCCTGCAGGTACGGCCCCTTGGCTGCCCAGTCCCTCGAGCTGCCACTGCCGTACTCTGAACCAGCCAGTACGATTGTGGGTGCCCCTGCGTCCTTGTAGCGCTGAAGGGAGGGGAGGGGAGGTGAGGGAGAGGAGAGGATGAGAAAGGGAAGGATGGGATAAGGGGAAAATGGATCACTTTGCCAGTCCTTCGAGCTCCCACTGCCATACTCCAAACGGGCTATTGGTGAACATCTTGTTGCTGCTGGGCACATGCACGGTGTGCGGCTGTCGGCAAACGTGCCCTGCACCCTCCCACTCCACGCCCCAACACAACACCCATGTTTATTCACCAACCCACCCTCCGTGACTCACCATGGCAGCATCGTAAATGAACATCTTGTCGCCGCTCGGCACGTGAACAGTGTGCGGGCCGACCTCCCCTTTCATGAACTTGTTCACAATGCGGATGTTGGCAAACGTGCCGCGCGCCATCACCTCGTCGTTGCCCCGCCTGCTGCCGTACGAGTTCCAGTCCTTGCGTGCAACGCCCCTCTCCGTGAGGTACCTGGCAGCCGCGCTGTCCTTGTGAATACTTCCTGCAGGCATGGCAGGGGATTTGGCAGCGGATGAGCAGAAATAGGAGAGGGGTGGTGGGAGGTAGGGTGGCGAGGGGAGGGGTGGTGAGTCACCATCACCTCGTCGTTGCCCCGCCTGCTGCCATACGAGTTCCAGTCCTTCGTAGCAACGCCCCTCTCTGTGAGGTACCTGGCAGCCGCACTGTCCTTGTGGATACTTCCTGCATAGTGGCAGGGGATTTGGCAGCGGATGAGCAGAAATAGGAGAGGGGTGGTGGGAGGTAGGGTGGCGAGGGGAGGGGTGGTGAGTCACCATCACCTCGTCGTTGCCCCGCCTGCTGCCATACCAGTTCCAGTCCTTCGTAGCAACGCCCCTCTCCGTGAGGTACCTGGCGGCCGCACTGTCCTTGTGGATGCTCCCTGAGGAGAGGAGGGGGAGGGGGGTTTGTGGGGTTGAGGGGAGGGAGGAACACCGTGAGAATTCGTGTTTTAAGTGCCACACACGCGCATGCTCGCCAAGTCTGCTGCCATACGAGTTCCAGTCCTTGCATGCCACGCCCCTCTCAGTGAGGTACCTGGCAGCCGCGCTGTCCGTGTGGATGCTCCCTGCAGAATGGCAGGGGTTGGATGCGGTGCAAGCATGATTTTGAGCTGCTACATGCACATGCTCCCGCCTGCTGCCATACGAGTTCCAGTCCTTGCGCGCCACGCCTCTTTCCGTGAGGTACCTGGCATGGGGTTGGGTAGCGGAGTGGTGGGAGAGGGAGAGGGGTGGTGGGGGTTAGGGCGCCATCACCTCATCGTTGCCCCGCCTGCTGCCATACGAGTTCCAGTCCTTGCGCGCCACACCCCTCTCGGTGAGGCGTCTTGCGGCCGCACTGTCCTTGTGGATGCTTCCTGGAAGGAGGAGAAGGGTTTGGTGCAGGGAGGGAGGACGCGGAGCGAGTTAGTGTTTGGTGATGCCATCACCTCATCACTGCCCCGCCTGCTGCCATACGAGTTCCAACCCCTACGCGCCACACTCCCAGTCCCTTTGGAGAAGGCCGGCTCGTGGATAAATGTCAAGGCTGGGTTGCACCCATACAGCGCCCCCAGAGGCACACAGACACACACAACCCTGCCCGCTCACATACACTCACACCTTCACACACTCAAAAACAGACGCACCACCCGCACATCCACAGACAGCCACCCACCAGCAGGGGAGATATGGTTGGTGGTGATGCTGTCTCCCAGGTTGAGCAGGCAATACGCGTCCACCACAGGCGCACAGAGACACCACACCCAGACTCCCCCACCCACCCACGTGCACACCCACCAACCCACACACACAGCCACCCACCAGCAGGGGAAATATGATCCGTGGTGATGCTATCGCCAAGGTTCAGCAGGCAGTACGCGTCCACCACAGGCGCCACCCCAGGCGGGTCCTTGGAAATCCCTTTGAAGAAGGGCGGCTCGTGAATGTAAGTAGAGGCCGGGTTCCACTCATACAGCGCGCCCTCAGGTGCTGTGAGCCCGTTCCACAGGTCGTTGCCACGTGTGATGCTCTCATAGGTCGACCGGAAGAACTCCGGCAGCACGGATTTCTCGACCACCGCTGCCACCTCAGCGGACGACGGCCAGATGTCGCGCAGGTAGATGGGCTTTCCGTCTTTGCCGGTGCCGATTGGCTCGGTGGCGAAGTCAATGTCGACCTGTGTGGGGGGTGGGGATGGATTGAAGAGAGACACATGGAAGGGCAGGGAATGAAGCGAGATGGCCATCTCGCGCAGGAGGACTGGCTTGCCGTCGCTGCCCGTGCCAATGGGCTCTGTGGCCAAGTCAACGCCCACCTGAGAAGTGTGTGTGGGGATGGAT